CCAGCAGTTGAGTGAGTTGTGATTTCACTGGGAAAGGAATTTGAATTGTGCCCTTCCAGTGGGGATGAAGGACTTGGCAAGTGAGTCAGGCTTACTGTACACGGCCGCATCCCTTTATAGATTTGTCCTCTGCTGGCTGTGTGTGTGGTCCTGTTGAAGTGCAGGTGCCCCTTAGGCAGATTTTGTTTGGCTTATGTGGTGATACTTGCTTTAATTGGAAATTTCCAGTGAAAGCCTGTGTTTCCAGCATCTCTTAGTGCTCTCTAGTTCACCGCAGTTCCTACCATTCTGTGTCAGTGCCTGCAGTGGAGCCAGAAGCCAGTTTCTAGTTCAGCTCTACACTACTGCTTGGATTGTAGAGAAATATCCTTTGAACCTCTAACCTTGCCTGATTTTCAGACGTGATCAAATGGAAGCTAACACCAAAGGGTTGTGTGTCTTTCCTTATACTTAGCCCTGTTCATACATTTCTACCTGGGCCTAAGCCGTGAGCATGCTTAAGCTTGTTGTCCCGTTTTAGGTTTCGCCCCGCTCATGGTTCCCTTCACCTGCCCTCCATTTCCAGTCTTGGAGCCCTTATACTTTACTGTCTGCCCTGAATTCCAGCTCCTCTTTTTGCCATATCTATCTTCCTGGCTTATTTCTCACAACTGTATTTTGGGGGCCAAAGTCCATCAGCATATCAAACCCATGATTTATCAAAATTTAAATTTAAAGTGAGGCTAAATTTTTTTTTTATTATTATTGATTTTTTGTAGAGAGGAAGGAAGAGGGATAGGGAGTTAGAAACATCAATGAGAGAGAAACATCGATCAGCTGCCTCCTGCACACTCCTTACTGGGGACGTGCCCGCAACCAAGGTACATGCCCTTGACCGGAATCGAACCTGGGACCCTTCAGTCTGCAGGCCGATGCTCTATTCACTGAGCCAAACCAGTTAGGGCGAGGCTAAATTTTTTTAAGAAAAGGAGTGAGCCACTTTAAAGAAAAATAAACTGATAACAGTGTGATATATAGTAGATATGGCACAAATCATGAAGGTGGTATAAGAAGGAAGGAAGTTGGATAACTACCATTCCAGTTGAGATGTTAATTTTTTTAGGTCAAGGGTCCTTATAAGAATCTGATGAAAACTATGGACCCTTTTTCTAGAATAATATACATAAGGATACCCAAAGCAATTTGTCAACGTTTTCAAGGAGGTCACTGGTTCCCTAAGCACATCATGGACTGATTTAGTCTAAATCTAAATCAATCTATTCTGATAGTAAAGGACTTGTACAATCACATGGCTGTTCAGGGGAGAGATGGGAAGGTCTCCAGGCTGGTTGTTGGCTCTCCCAGCCTGTGATCCTCCTTGAGCAGTGCTTGGGGCCAGAACCCTGGTGCCGGTTTTCCTAGTCCCTGCCTCATTCCCCACCTTTCAGGCCCCCCTGAATCAATGAGGGAACATGTGGTCGCTGCCTCCAAGGCTATGAAGATGGGTGACTGGAAGACCTGCCACAGCTTTATAATCAATGAGAAGATGAATGGCAAAGTGTGGGACCTTTTCCCTGAGGCTGACAAAGTCCGAACCATGCTGGTTAGGTGAGCCGAGGAGGGGAAATGTGGTGAGTGGGGAATAAAAGACTGGTTGGTCTCCTTCCCTGAAGATCTGTTCTTTATCCCATAGGAAGATCCAGGAAGAGTCACTACGGACCTACCTCTTCACCTACAGCAGTGTCTATGACTCCATCAGGTAGGATAAGCCTTGAGGAAGCAGAGCGGCCCCAGCTTTGTGGTCCCAGGTCCTAGTTGCTCCCTGTCTTCTTTCTCCCCAGCATGGAGACACTGTCTGACATGTTTGAGCTGGACCTACCCACTGTACACTCCATCATTAGCAAAATGATCATTAATGAGGAGTTGATGGTAAGGGCCAGGGGTGGTAAATGGGCAGGTGAGTCACGGGGAGTTGGGAGTGGAAGGGACTGATCTGTGTCCTGTCCCTATCTCTGGCTCATTCCCATCAGGCCTCCTTGGACCAGCCAACACAGACAGTGGTGATGCACCGCACGGAGCCCACTGCCCAACAGAACCTGGCTCTGCAGCTGGCGGAAAAGCTGGGCAGCCTGGTGGAAAATAATGAGCGGGTGTTTGACCACAAGCAGGGTACCTATGGTGGCTACTTCCGAGGTGAGTGGTTCCATCCCCTCTGCTCTCCCAGCGTCCTGACTCCCTTCCTGTCTCTCCGCTGGCATTCACTCCCTCCCCTTCCCGTCTCCCTCCTGCAGACCAGAAGGATGGCTACCGCAAAAACGAAGGCTACATGCGCCGGGGTGGCTACCGCCAGCAGCAGTCTCAGACAGCCTACTGACCACTTCTGCCCCCGTGGCTAGACCACTCAACAACCTTTAAGTCCTAAACCACATCCCAGTCATTAAAGGTCTATTTAAACTTGTTATAGTTCCTGTTTGTCTGCATGTCGCCACAGAGGTGTTTAGGCAGTTCATTATGCTAGTTTTATTTCTTAGCTTCTACCATATGACAGGCACAAGGCAGAAATAACTTGTACATATCTCTGACTTCAAAGAGCTTGCTGCTCTTTTGCATTTAACAAAAAATTGTAGCAACGTGGTAAGTTATAACAGGTGTGAAGGAAAGATGGTGGATATTTGAGCAGGATATGACTGTGGGGCATAAATATCAGAAAACAAAATGGAGTGGGCTGTAGTGATGGCTCGTCCTTGCGGGTGGATGGGTGGTGGTGCACCATCAGGAAAAGGAGAGTTTGCCTAAACCTGTGTGAAGTGTGGTCCTTGGACCAGGGTGGGCCCGCAATTAGTCTGTGACACAACAGGCACCACAGTTAAGCATAGGCACTGAGAAACTTCGCCATTATCATGACGGTGAAGCATGTGATTGTTTACCTCATTTGTGCACTGTTTTCAAAAGTATTGATGTACAGTAAATTGGGAGCTTTTTAAAAAAGAATACACCACCATATTTGAGAAGCACTGATGTAGGCAAAGGAGTGAGAGCAAGTGCAAAGGACAGTGTGGTTTTTATTAAAGTGTATGTGTAGAGGACAAAGACTGGAAATGCTTTGGACTTTCGGAAACAAAATTCACAAATGGATTCAGTTTTAAGAATGGTCGTGGAGCAGCATTGTAAAATATGAAGTTGGAGGCAGAGAGCCAATCAGAAAGTAAAAAGCATCTAAAGCCAGGATGGTTAGGATCAGAGGTGAGGGATTGAAGAGGGATATAGGTAACAAGCTGGACTTTCTGGCCAGTTGAACCTGAGAGTAGTAGGAGTTTCTTGACTTGAGAATGACAGATTCTCTTTATGGGATATATAGGTGATAGAGCCGTTATCAAGAAGTAGTTGGAATATTCTTTGTGTTTAGGAACACAAGAACAACAGGATGCAGGGTGGGCTGATACGTTGAATTTGAGGTATTGGGGGCATAAGCAAGGCAGCTGGAAATGAGTTTGGTATGCATATTAATTAGGCTGTAAGCTGTGCTGCTATAACAAAGGGACTCCACAGTATTGATGCAAACAAAATAGAGTTGTCTCTTAAACAACATGGGTTTAAACTGGGCTGTCCACTTATACACAGATACCAAGGGACAACTTAAGTTTTGGGGCAGGGTGTCAGAAGTTACAGATTTTCAACTGCATGGAAACTTGGCGCCCCTAACTCCCATATTGTTCGAGGGTCACTGTCATTTACTTCTCATGTGACAGTCCAGGGATCAGGGAGTGGTCCAGGCTTAGGGTTAAGCAACTGTTAAACAAGATCATCTAGGGATTCAGGGTTCCACGTCTTACTGCTCCACCAACCCCTCCCCCTCTCCCCCTCCCCCGGGTGGTGGTTCTCATCTACATGGTTAAAGCTGGCTTACCAGCCCCACATCCTTGTTCAAGTCCATAGGAAAGGAAAGAGGAAGCAGAGGGCCTGGAAACTGCACTCTTATAATCGGCTAGAACTTAGTCTCATATACTTGCTACCCTGTGGGGATCACTAAAATGCCTCTAGCTGAATAGTTGTGTGTTCATTTAAACTTGGGGTGTATTCATTTAAACTTGGGGAGATTATAAATAAAAGAGAGTAGACACGGGGGACAATTAGTCTATCACAGAATGGAGAAAACAAAAGATTTTGAAGTGAGTGGTTTGTAAGTGGTTGTCAAAAGTATGGTAGTGGGTCCTGGCCAGTGTGGTTCAGTGGTTGAGTGTTGACCCTTGAACCAGGAGGTCACAGTTTGACTCCTGGTCAGAGCACATGCCTGGGTTGTGGGCTTGATCCCCAGTAGAGGGCGTGCAGGAGTCAGCTGACCAATGATTCTCATCATTGATATTGTGCTTTCTTTCTCTACTCCTCTCCTTTCATCTCTGAAATAAATAAAAATGTTTAGAAATTAAAAAAGAAAAGTTAGGCCGAAACCGGTTTGGCTCAGTGGATAGAGCGTCGGCCTGCGGACTGAAAGGTCCCAGGTTCGATTCCGGTCAAGGGCATGTACCTGGGTTGCGGGCACATCCCCAGTGGGAGATGTGCAGGAGGCAGCTGATCGATGTTTCTCTCTCATCGATGTTTCTAACTCTCTATCTCTCTCCCTTCCTCTCTGTAAAAAATCAATAAAATATATTAAAAAAAAAAAAAAAGAAAAGTTAGTCTCTCTAGGCTATCTATCCATGTCTCTCTCACATCGAAGTTCCTCTTCTCTGATGTTATGTGAGCCCCTGTCTCAGTTCTGATGCTCTGCTGGGCCCAGCGTGAGGTTTAGCCACTGTGGAAAACAATATGGCAGTTTTTCAAAAAGTTAAACTTCCCTTCCCCTCTAAAAATCAGTGGGAAAAATATCCTCAGAGGAGTATTCACAAAACAAAATTTTAGGCAAGTTTAGATGAAAAAAGAGATAGTGTTTTGAAAACAAAGTAATTTTCCAGTGTGAGTTTGAGCATATCTAGATGAAACCCAGTAGTTGTGCAAATGAATGCAGATTTGAGCACACAAAATTAACTTCTCAAGATGAGTTAATTGTACAAATCCAGCTGAAAAAATAGTCCTCTATGAAAACAAGATCAGATTCAAGAGTTCTCAAAAGCAGCTTCCCAGCAAATCTAGAGGATAAAAAACAATTTTTGTTAAAAGCAAATCTGGATAAACAAGAAAGAAGCATTTGTTGTGAAAATTAAGCTCAGATTCATAAATTCTCAAAACTAACTTCCTGCCATGAAGTTGAGCAAATGTAGCTGACACAGCTGTTTCTGTGAAAGCAAGTTCAGATTCACAAATTCTTCTCAGATGTAACCTCCCAGCATCAATTTGAGCAAATTTAGATAGAAAACAACAGTATTGGCTCTGGTGAAAGTACAGATTTATGAGCTCTCACAAGTTGCTTTCCAACCTCTAGTGCTGGCCAAGACTTAGGCACACTAAAGCATCTCTCTCCCACTGATTACAACTAAAACTTAGGGAAAATAAAATTACTTGAGGACGGGAAAATGAAAGCAGTCAGATTAGGGAAGGGAGTCCAAACTTAATCCATACAGAAGTGTTCCCTGGTATTTTCTTTTTCATGGCTTTTACCTCTGAGGTCAGGTTGCAAAACCCTAAAAGAACCCATCTTAGCTCTAGCCAGATGTCCAGGGGAAGGGACCCTGTGAACTAGAGAGGACAGTATGAAATCTATTTTTTTCTCCGACCTTTGAAGGCAGGCGAAAGTTGCAAGACAAACAGTTTGGCCCTGACAGCTAAAACTGTTTTCCAGCAGAGCAATCAGGAAAAGGGGACACTCAGAAGAAAGGTAATCACCATTTTGTTTTTCTCTTCCTGTTTCACCCAAGGGTGGCCCTGCCATAGAGCCATAACAGTAGTGGTGTTACAGGTGGCTAAAACTTCTAAAGAGCCCTGTCTTTCTGACCAGAAGTTAAATTGCCTCTGAAACAAAAATATTCATGAGGGGATTTTAACAGAACCTTGAATCTCACAGCATAATAGTCAAAATGTCCAGGATACATTCCAGAAAGACCATGTGACCACTTCTCAAGGGAAACATCCATTGACAGTTGCCAACCCATATCAAAACTATAGAGCAGCTATTATTACTACATGAAATAATATAAAAAGACAAATACTGTATGGTTCCACTTATATGACATACCTAGAGTATTCAAAATCCTAGAGACAGACAGTACAATGGTGTTACCAGGGCCTGGAGGGAAGGGATAATGGGGACTTATTGCTTAATGGGTGCAGAACTTCAGTTTTGCAGGATGGAAAGAGTTCTGGAGATAGACGGTAGTGATAATTGCACAACAATATGAATGTGCTTAATACTACATAAGTTCCACAGAGATATCTCAGCTGTGTGGTTTGCCACTGAAAACTCTGGGGTCTAAACCTCAAGCTGGGCCCCCCAACAGAGAGCACCAGAACTGAGAAAGGGGCTCACATAGCATCCGGCTGGGAAAAACAGAAGGGCTGCTGTCTGCCAGGGAGAGACGGCTGGAAATGCAGGCACCCTCTTAAAGGGCCAAAACACAAAATTTCGTGTGCAGCCACTCACCTTGGATTCCAGCAGAGGGAGGGCAGAGTGGACTGGAGCTGTGTGAGCATAAGCGAGGGTTGAGGGCTGTGGGGTTGGAACTCGGAAGGCAGGCGGCCTGGTTTCCTGTGCTGCGTCATTCCCGCATGCTGTGGAGGATATCTTTCTCAGACCTTTGCTATCCAGGTTCTTTTTGACTGGGGAGAGGCAGTTGCCCAACCTTGTGGAGTTTCTCAGGCCCATTAAGAGACTGAGAACAAAAATTAGCCTCCAGGCAGAAGCAATTGCCCAACCCTGTTGGAAAACCTCTCTCACCCCACCTGTGGACAATAGCCTGAGGCTACTCAGGACTGAATTCAGTCAGTCTGCAGGCAGAGGTGGGTCTCTGGAGGCTTTGAATCTTTGTACTAGACTAGAGGTTGGGAGGTGTAGCATATCTACCTAATACAGCAGTTCTCAACCTGTGGGTCGCGACCCCTTTGGGAGTCGAACGACCCTTTCACAGGGGTCACCTAAATACATCCTGCATATCAGATATTTACATTACGATTCATAACAGTAGCAACATTACAGTTATGAAGTAGCAATGAAAATAATTTTATGGTTGGGGGTCACCACAACATGAGGAACTGTATTAACCCTTTGTGGTCGTTTGTCTACTCTCAGCCACCAAAGCTTTTTTACCGTTCCGGTCATATGTCTGCTCTCAGCCACCACAACAAGGAACCGTACGAATCTTAACTCTATTCATTCATGTATCAGTTCATAATTTCTCTGAAAGCTCTTAAGTGTCTAAGCGACCTTGTCACAAACCAAAACACTGCCCCGACAAATCGGAGATATAGAAACTCAATATAAACAAACGCAGTCGTTCCACACTCGCCATGCAAAACACCGTGGTAAGTCAGTCGCCTTTTGAGAGTGAAGAAATCGACAAGCTTCGGAGATACTTCACAGAATTTCAAATAAAGCTTTACAAATTATGTTTAACTGTAATTAGGCATTCTCACTTGTTAAGATATTTCAAAATAATACTGCAAAATGGCAAAAAGAAAGTTACCGAAAGAAGTGTACTGCAAATCTGAAAGTAACGAGTTTTATTTTGGCACCTTGAATACTGACTGAGGTAGAAAGTGATAATGTTTGTAGTGATTCTACTAGTAGTGACGTAGTTCCAAAAAAGAATTAATAAATCTTGTTTATCCTTCATAATCTTGCATGTTATGTATCACTGCTCTTTCGATGGAAATTAATTCCCACCAGTATGACACCCATGTCCAAATTTAATACGACCGCAAAGGGTTAAAGGGTCACGGCATTAGGAAGGTTGAGAACCATTGACCTAATACATAGTCACAAATCCAAATAGGCAGCCAAAATAAGGAGACAAAAACACAACCTCAAAACAAAAGAACAAGAGAATTCTTCAGAAGAGCTAAATACAATGGAGATAATAAATTTATCAGACATAGAGTTCAGAATGATGATGGCAAAGATGCTCAACAGCATGAAAAAAGATATAGTAACTAAGAAGATGGACATAACACTAATGAACACAGTGGAAGGAATACACAGCAGATTAGGGGAAGATGAGGATCAGATCAGTGAATTAGAAAATGATAGAAAACCATCAGAAAACCAAAAAGAAAAAACAATTAAAAACACAGGTGGCCCTAGCTGGTTTGGCTCAGTGACTAGAGAATCAGCCTGTTGACTGAAAGTCCTGGGTTCAATTCCAGTCAAGAGCATGTACCTTGGTTGCAGGCTCCTCCCTAGCATGGGCCCTGGTCAGGGCGTGTGCAGGAGGCAACTAATTGATGTGCTTCTCTCACATCGATGTTTCTCTCTGTTTTTCCCACCCTCTTCCATTCTCTAAAAAAATCAATGGGAAAATACCTTGGGTGAGGATTAACAAAAAAACAAAACAGAACAAAAAAACAGAACAAAAAAAAACAACAAACAGGAGAACAGTTTAAGGGAGCTGTGAGACAACATGAAATGTAACAATATTCACATAATAAGTGTGCTAGAGGAGAAAAAGAGCAAGGGATAGAGAACGTGTTTGAAGAAATAATGGCAGAAAAACTTTCTAACCTGATGGAGGAAAAAGTCACACAAGTCCAGGAGGCACAGAGAACCTCAAGCAAGAAGAACCCAAACAGGCCCACCACCAGACATATCATCATTAAAATGGCAAAAATTAAAGACAAGGAGTGAAACTTAAAGGCAGCAAGAAAAAAACAATTTGTTACTCACAAAAGAAATCCCATAAGGCTGTCAGCTGATTTCTCATCAGAAACTCTACAGGCCAGAAGGGAATGGCATGAAGTATTCAAGGTATTGAAAAGCAAGCGTCTGAAACCAAGATTACTATAACCAACAAGGTTATCATTCAAAATAGATGGTCAAATAAAGAGCTTCCCAGACAAAAAAAAGACTAAAGGAGTTTATCACCATCAAACCAGTACTGCAAGAAATGCTAAAGAGACTGCTGTAATGAGAAGAAATAGAGAAACATAGACATACAGAATTAAAATGGCAATATATAAATACCTATCAATAACCTTAAATGTAGCCCTAGCTGGCTTGGCTCAGTGGATAGAGAGTTGGCCTGCGGACTGAAGAGTCCCGGGTTTGATTCCAGCCAAGGGCACATGCCTGGGTTGCGGGCTCAATCCCCAGTGGGGGTGTGCAGGAGGCAGCCAAGCAATGATTCTCTCTTATCATTGATGTTTCTATCTCTCTCTCTCTCCTTCTCCCTTCCTCTCTGAAATCAATAAAGAAATATATTTTTTAAAAAAGAAAATAAATGTCAATTTCTCTTAAAAAAAACCTTAAATGTAAGCAGATTAAATGCTCCAATCAAAAGACATAGGATAGCTGAATGGATACAACAACATGACCCAATTATATACTGTCTATAAGAGACCCAACTAAGAACAAAAGACTTAACACAGGATGAGAGTGAAGGAATGGAAAAATTTTTCCATGCAAATGGAAACGAAAAAGGCTAGGGTAGCCCTAGTTGGTTTGGCTCAGTGGATAGAGCGCCAGCCTGTGGACTGAAGGTTTCCAGGTTTGATTCCAGTCAAGGGCACATGCCTGAGTTGCAGGCTCAATCCCCAGTTGGGGGCATGCAGGAGGCAGCCAGTCAATGATTCTCTCTCATCATTGATGTTTATATTTCTCTCTCCTTCTCCCTGCCTCTATGAAATCAATAAAAATATATATTTTTAAAAAGAAAAAGGCTAGGGTAGTAATACTCATATCTGACAAAATAGACTTCAAAATGAAGGCCATTACAAGAGACAACAAAGGTCACTACATAACACTAAAGGGATTGATCCAACAAGAAGATATAACCCTGGTAAACATACATGCATCCAATATAGGAACACCTAAATATATTTTTAAAACTTCTAGAGGACTTTAAGGGAGAGATAAATAACAATACAGTCATAATAGGGGACTTTAATATCCCACTGATTTCACTGGATAGATCTTACAGACAAAAAAATTAACAGCCCAGCCAGCATGGCTCAGTGGTTAAGCGTCGACCTATGAACTTGAAGGTCACGGTTCAATTCCTGGTACCACATGCCTGGGTTGCAGGCTTGATCCCCAGTAGGGGGCGTGCAGGAGGCAGCCTATCCATGGTTCTTTCTCAACATTGATGTTTCTAGCTCTCCCTCTCCCTTCCTCTGAAATCAATAAAAAAAAAATTTAATTTAATTAACAAGGAAACAGTGACTCTAAATGACACACTGAATCAGATGGATTTAATTGACAGTTATAGAACATTTGACACAAAAGCTGCATAATACACATTTTTCTCAAGTGCACAAGGGACATTCTCAAAGTTAAACCAAATGTTAGGACACAAAACAAGTCTCTACAAGTTCAAGAAGATTGAAATCATATCAAGCATCTTCTCAGATCACAGTGTAATGAAATTTGAAATCAACTACAGTAAAAACACTCAAAAACATTCAAACACATGGATGCTAAATAGCATGTTATTAAACAACTAGAGGCCCAGTGCACGAAATTCATGTACTTGCAGGGGTGGGGGGTGTCCCCTCAGCCCAGCCTGCACCCTCTCACAGTCCGGGAGCCTTTGGGGGATGTCTGACTGATGGCTTAGGCCCATGGGGAGCGGGCCTAAGCCAGCAGTCGGACATCCTTAGCGCTGCCGTGGAGGCAGGAGTGGCTCTGGTCACCGCCACTGCACTCGCCAGCCATGAGCCCGGCTCAGGGCTTCTGACTGAGCAGCATTCCCCCTGTGGGAGTGCACTGACTACCAGGGTGCAGCTCCTGCATTGAGCGTCTGCCCCCTGGTTGTCAGTGCATGTCTTAGCAACCAGTTGTTCCACCATTCGGTCAATTTGCATATTAGCCTTTTATTATATAGGATAACCCACTTGTAGAATTTATGCTTACCATCTTGGCAACTTTGAGCTCTGCTGACTATATATGGTATCCCAAAAAAATGTATACATTTGATTAGCTCAATTTTGAAAATGAAATGTATCTTAATAAACACTGCCTTTATAATTATTCAAAGTGCTTGTATACATTTTGGGCACATCCTACATATAATCTATAAACTTCAACTATTTAATAGTAGGCTGCATGTATCATATTCTTTTGCACATAATACTTCAGTGTATATTTACTATGTATAAATGCTTACATATTTACAGTCATCACACTCAGGTATAGTATAAAGCATGTAATACTTTATAGCCTATACTCCAAATTCATCAGTGTCTTTTATAGCAATTTCCCCCCTGAATTTAGGCCAGGATCAAGTATTTCATTTAGTTATTAGCCACTTTAGCCTCCTTTAATCTGGGATATTTCCTCAACCTTTCTCTCCCATGCCATGGATATTTGAAGAATAGCCTAATTATTTCTCCTGTATGTTTCTTCTTCTTAGGTGTATATGCATATATGTGTATATCTATTAACAATATGAATGCATGGGTTCTTTTATTCAGTGAGTTATCATCTACTGCTGAACTTTTTTTGATGCTCAAATTGTGCCAGATTTGGCTTCTTAAAGCTGGCTCTTGTGTCTCTTTGTGGCCCTTATAATTTTTTTTTTTTTAGTACTTTCCTAGCTCAACAAAATACCCCAAGCTTGCCGGGAGCCGGTCCATCCTTGCTGTTTCAAGGGACCTGGCATATATGGCACACTGTTCTTAATATGTTTGCTCACCTTCTTGGCACTATGTGTTTTAACCAAGGTCACCTCTCTGAGAAAGGTTGTTTCCCCAGGTAGGGATTTCCCCCCAAAGTTAGGGAGGGAATAAAACCCCTTAACTAAGTGCCAGGTGGGTAATTAACCACTTTAACTACGAACAATCATGCTTAAGCTACATAATCTTTACTCCCTGGAATGGAGATAAGAAATGCCCTAACCTTTGGAATAGAGATTGATAGGATTGGAATCAACTGGTATAAATACAGATGTAACAAGACAACAGCTCGACAGAACCTAGACAGAACCTACTCAGAGCCTAGACACAGAACTTACACAGAACCTAGAGACAGAAGAACTT